TGCCACGGGCAGGGACACCTCCCGCCAGACCGGGCTGCTCAAAGCCTGGTCCAGCCTGGCCTTGAGCACTTGCAGGGATGAGGCATAGTCACGGAGTCATTAAGGTTGGAAAAGATCATCAAGCCCAATTGTCAGCCCAGCACCACCATGGCCACTAAACCCTGTCCTCAAGTGCCACACCTGCACGTTTTTTGAACACCTCCAGAGACAGTGACTCCACCACTGCCCAGGCAGCCTGTTCCAATGCCTCACCACTCTTCTAGTAAGGAAGTTTTTCCTAATATCCAATCTATACCTCTGCTGGCGCAACTTGAGCCCATTTCCATTTCATTTTTGAGCTCCACAACTTCCCTGGGCAACCTGTTCCAGCGTGTCACCACTGTCACACTGAAGAGCTTCTTCCTAAAGCCTCATCTAAACCTACCCTGCTCTAAAACCATTGCCCCTCGTCCTGTCGCTGCACACCCTTGCGAACAGCTCCTCCCCAGCTTCCCTGTAGCCCTGTCAGGCAGCAGAAGGCCACTCTGAGGTCTCCCCAGAGCCTTCTCCAGGCTGAAGAACCCCAAGATGAGCAGGTTTGGCACAGGGCTGGGGGCTTATAGCAGTAGGTGGCTGCACTTGCTTTCCTCAGCGACTCCATGTCTTGCACACAAGCCTGAGAACACAACGTTCCTGGGCATACAGCAGCCTGCACCAAGGGACAGATGGAGAAATGCCCATCAGAGTGACACCTGAGCACCACGGCGGGGACTTGTGCAGGGGGGGCCATGCTGGGACACAGCTGAGCTAAGCCTGTTAGCAGTGGCTTCACCTGTACCGAGATTAGCATTCGTTCTACAGCAGTCTGCAGCACCAAAAATAAATAAAATTTAAAAAAAAAAGAAAATGCCAGTTCACACTGTGCTTCTATTCTGCAGTTACTAGGTCAGTGGAACGCCAGGAAAGCCAGAATAACAGTGTTCTTCAGCCACAGAACCACGCGGTACTGTGTCCTTTGGTTAGTACTGCACTGGGTGGTGGGGAAAATATATGCACCACGGTATACAGTCTTGTCATATCACAAGTCTGTGCAACTCATTTGTTTCATGCCTGTGAAAATAACAGCTGGAATTGGTTCTTTCTGTGGGTCAGAGCGGAATTAGAGTTGTGGGATTAGTTATAAAGCCTGGTTACATGTCTCAGCTGGTGTTCTGAATGGATTTAAGCCCTTAAAAACTGGGAGAGGAAGGGGAGAATGTATAAAGCGTAGCTTTACATACCCTTTCCCTGGTGATAAATTAATTGCTGAAGGACCTGTATCATTGTGCACGTTCATACAAACAGTATGGAATTCCAACACAAGCTACATGAGCCCTCTCTTTAGGGGTTTGAAGGAAGCTTTTCCTCACAGCACAGAGCTACCAAGTTCAGTGCTGTGTTTGTTGGTTTGTTTTTCTTAAAGGTAAAAAACCCCTCACCTGTAAGCAATGAGCTAACAGAACAAAGTTTGCATTTTATTTACCAGAAGCTTTAAAGCATTGGTTAGTACACTGAAATAAGAGCTGCGGTCAGGAAAGCTGTATTGGTTTTGTCACTGTAAGTAAGCGTCAGCAATCACTAAGTTGGCCTCACTTAAATTTTGCTGGAGAAAGCTGCCCATTTTTCTCTTACAGATTACAAAGAAATTCCAGTTTATTTGAGCACTATGGAAGAGATGAGAATACTGTTAGGAAGGCAAAGCTCTAAATACTACCTGGTTGTTTTACACTTGCCCATGCTGCATTTCTTGATTCCACTTGTTCGTAAGGCAGCAGAGCAGAGGGCCACTGCATTTAGCTGCCGTGCCATTATCTAACATTGCCAGGTTTTTATTTACTGTTGGGACTTTAGTTTTAACCCACTGATAGGTGATAAATACTTCCTGCCTTGCACGCAGCGTGGCCTGTCTCAGTAGTATTGTTGTTTTCTCAGTGTCAGAAATGTCTGTATGCCAGCATGTCCCCCATGCTAAAAGGGGAAACATGCCAAGTCTTCTGCAAGAGGCAAGCAGAATTAAATTAATCCACACACTAGGCCAGGAGATCTGGACCCCCCGACTGCTCCGTGCTTCTGTTTGGAAAGCACAGGTGCAAAGTTAGAACTGACTTTTGTGCAGATAATGGTTTGCAGCCTGGGGTGCTTTTTACGCAGTTAAAATTAAGGGTTTTTCCTCCCACAGCTAAAGCAGCTTAGCAATTTATGAAGCAAACCAATACTTTAATCAGATCCTGATACTCAGGAGTGGCTGAAGAGGCATTTCTCTTTCTGAAGGGAAAGAAGTTAAAAGCTCGTTTAAGCAAAAATAAGCAGGCTTTGACAGCTTCCTGCTTTCAGGCTCAAATATCTACTTAAGATACCAGAGGTATCAGAAGCACCAGCAGGTAATGTTTTGTCCTACAGAAAGTCAAGAACAATCTTGCAAAACAATTACTCAGTACATAATCATCTTCTAACCAGCTCCATATCTGTAGCCTGTCCTTGGAAGCAGGTTAAGAATCTTTACTCAAGTGTTGCTGATCAAACACTTCTTGATTGTGCCCGTGCCACACATTGCTCAGTTGTGGCAAACTTGCTCATAAAATCCTCTGACAAGCAATTCTGTAAAGAGTTTTCAAACGAGACAGCGATACGTGTGCTAGCCTAGCCAAGAACCTCCACTTATTTCTGCTCATCTTCAGGCATCCCCACATCAGCTGGGCATAAGCTCAACTTGTGGAGCTTTCCCGCCCAGGTTGTGCGTTTGGGGTTAGGCATGCACCTGTGTTTCTAGACAAGGGTTCTTGGGCTCACTGCATTACACATTTAGCTTAATTGTATCTGGCTTTGGCTGAGCAAATCTTAAAACCCAAGAACTCCTGGGTAAAGCATACATAAACATACATTATATTGTTTGCTCTGAGGAGAGGCATTAATCTTGTCATTTTTTTATTAATAGGTGGTTCATTAACCAAGTTGGCTTATTATTCAACTGTGCAGCACAAAGTGGCAAGAGTGAGATCTTTTGATCATTCTGGGAAGGTGAGAATTGTCTCATCGCTTGCGATTGACTCACAACGGCAAAGTACAGGACTGGCTTCTTATAGGAGAACAGAAATTTCATCTTAAACCCATCCATAATTTGTTCTGTGTAAAACTTCATCTAGAACTTCCTTATAGTTTATGTATGACCTTCTCTAATACCTGGTGCTCTGAAGTAAGTTGTCACAGCTGAAATCTGTGTTTTAAGCACACATTCTAGCATGTACTGACACTTGGAGCCATCTCTCAGCGTTTGTACTGCAGCTCAGGTGAATGTATGGCTCCTGTTAATAACCCTTTGCTACATTCCAGGGGAAATGAGCTGTTAGCATGGGTTTGGCAATTATTTTTGTTTCGCAGCCTCAATATTGCTCTAGATCTGAAGTTACGGTACAATACATTGTATGTTTTCTCCTTAGCAAAAGACTGATTGCACAGCTTCAGAGTTGTGCAGCCCATGCACAGGGAAACTCAGTTATGTTCACTACCTGTTTGGAAGTGCTTGTGTTGCCAGTTAGTGTTTGAAATAGTTACTTTCTAGACAGGGAAGTATGGTACTGCTGTAAAAAAAATCCATACTCCCATGTAAACGTAAAACTTTTCTCATACAGAGGTGTTTCATGCATATCTGCTCCATGGGTGAATTAATTATATCCTCACTTTGAGGAGGATTAAAATCTATTGAAACTGCATTCTCTTTCAAAAGTAGCTTGGGATATTATGTTTTTAATAGCATTAACACAGTGTCAGGGCAAAAGAACCAGAGTTATTGATGTTCAGTATTTTAGCATGTAGCCTCATTTCTCACAAGGAAGGATTTTGAATGACCTATAAGAAATTCTTTTCTCTTTTAAAGGACATAGAAAATGAACCTTTGTATGAAATATCAGTTCAAGAGGAGATTACAGCTCGACTTCACTTCATTAAGTTTGAAAACACTTACATTGAAACCTGCCTAGACTTCATCAAAGACCATCTTGTCAATACAGAGACAAAAGTCATCAAAGCTACAGGTGGTGGTGCCTATAAATTCAAAGACCTAATTGAGAAGAAATTGGGGTTGAAGTAAGTGGAACTGTTTGAACTCAGTTACAGGAGTGTATTTCTTCTTTGATGAGTCTTTAACAGGCTAACTTCCCACTTTGCCCAGCTGCCTACAATGCCTACAATGGTATATAAAATAAAGTAATGTTTGAAATACAGTAGTAAATTCAATACTAACCAGAATTTTACTTGAGAATCTTTGATCACTTGCTGTGATGAGGTGTGTTTAAGTCTTTCTACTTAAAGTTTAAGGATGAAATCCACAAGATGACTGTATTATTACAAGCCAAAATACTGCTAACAAATACTTTTTTCCCCCTGAGTGTACCTAATCTCTGCAATTGCCTGTGTTCTCCAGTTAATGTGGTTCTGGGTTTGCTCAGAAATAATTAATATGTAATTTACTGCTTAGCTCCCACCTAAACTTCACACAGAAGCCCAAGCTTGGGGGAGACTAAACTTGCAGCCCCATAAATTTAGCATTCAAACACCTTTATCAAACACCACATCCTAAAAAGCTGCTGTAGGTAGAGATAAAAATATCACTAATTTACACAAATATAAAACATTACCTGATGTTTCTGGGGAAGAACTTGAGGCCACCTCTCCTGCTTTAGTCCCACATAGCACACTCCTCAGGTCCCAAGGAGCTCCATTCATCTTCTTTTATGCTGATTTTTCAAATTACTTCCTTCTTCTGATAGGTGGGAGACTGTTAGCCTGTTTTCAGACCAGCCTACATCCCTGCCTTATTGGCTGTTATTAAGTATCTGTTAATCAAGACAAGGAGGCAATTCCCCTCTTCTCTCATGTGATGCACCTGGTTTTTATTTGGCTGTGACACACTTGATTGCCCAGAAAGCAACACCCTCTCTGTCCTGACAAACAGAAAGCGTTCTGTATTAAGTGAGATGTACATTTGCCCTTGGTTTATGTGTTTTCAACAGGGCTCACCATATTTTGTGTAAGAAATGTAGCGTATTTCATGTGAGAAATTTACCACAAACGAGTAACAATATATGAGATACAGAAGGTTAGAGAAGTCAGGGTTGGCTGACTTAAGCACATCATCCATCTTCCCTAAATTATACATCTTGTTCCCAGTCCCCACGCTCGGGATACGTGCTGTTACAAGTCCCGTTATTCTCGTGAGAAGGCTGTTTGCCTTGTGCTTCGTGATCCCAGGAGCAGGCTCCTCGCAGTCCCTTTCACCTGTCATAAACGAGTGCTGAAATGTAGAGGGGGACCTTTTTGGTTTGTTTTGCTTTAGTAAGAAGGAAGGGGAAGAGCTATAGAAAATTATTCCTTGTTAGGAAATTATTCGATTAATTTCCAGCTGAGTTTCCTGACTTGTGCTAGCACCAGGGCACTAAAGAGGCAGCGTAAACAAGAAATCAGGGGGGCAGGATTATTCTTAATGACAGAGCGATTAATGTAAAACTAAAGTTACTGCGTAACTGCAGTCTCAACTTCAGACTGTGTGTTCTGGCACGGAGGGTGAATGTCAGAGCACGTGCAGATGGAGGGTTTCATGTTTTAAGAGATCTGGGCTTTTGCCATGAGGCGTGGGTTACTATCTCCTGTTCGTAAAATCTTCAAAAAACTCCTGATCTAAAAGCATACTTGCTTATCAGCAGGACTGTGGAATTTACGTAAAGGGTTTTTCTTCTCCCCCTTCCCCTCAGAGTAGATAAAGAAGATGTAATGACCTGCCTAATTAAAGGATGCAACTTCGTGCTGAGGAACATACCCCATGAAGTGTTTGCATACCAGAAAGATTCAGATACAGAATTCCGATTTCAGACGAACCACCCAAATATTTTCCCTTATTTACTGGTGAATATCGGCTCTGGGGTTTCTATAGTGAAGGTGAGTCGTTGCTAAAATGTTATATTGTAGAATTCAGTACTGTTTTAAATTTGTCGTCGTTTCTTCTTGAGAAAGTTTAGGAAAAAATAATGATTTTTTTTACAGGTAGAAACAGAAGACAAGTTTGAATGGATTGGAGGGAGCTCAATCGGAGGTGGAACTTTCTGGGGTCTTGGAGCGCTGCTCACAAAAACAAAGGTATCAAAGTGTCAGTTTTTGGGATGTGGGATTCAATGAGATGCTGAGAGGAAGTTTGAAATGTTGAAATGCTGAACTCTTTGGGTAGGGAGAAGTAATTATTTTAAGTAATGTTTGTATGGGAAGCCAGAGATCTGATGTTAGTGTACTAGAAGATGAAAAAAATTATGTCTGTCTCTTTGGAGGTTTTTATCTTTTATTCAAAGAATTGCTGCCCTTGTGCAGAAACAGAACAGGCAGTTCTGCAGTGCTCAGGACAATTCTTGTACTCCCCATTAGGTGCTTGTGGCCCTAGACTGTTAGATAACAAGACTGAGTCCCTGACCTGTGTTCACATTTTCTATATTTCTGATACATAAAAGGAAGCTCTAAATGCAGAAAGATACCGGTAGAATATAGGGACAAAAATGATGGCTCAATAGTAATCCTGCTTGGGGCTCAAGGAGTTTGTCAGCAAGGACAAATAAGGTCTGTCGTGCAGAGAGCAGCCTCCTCAAAGTGGCCTGTTAATTTTCTGGACGCTTTTTCAACGTGAAATGCCTGCCTAGTTCCTGCCGAGGCAGAGCAGGCGGCGCCCAATTACTGCAAAATGGCTGGGAGTAGAGGAGGAATTCTAAGTCTCCTTGTTACACGTTAGAGTTTCGGGGGTTTGTTGCTTATATCCCAGCTCGGTGATCTGCTGGCATTAGCCCTGCCTAACTCAGCTCTAAAATCACGCTGCTTTTTTCCTGTCTGAAAGATCCACGTGTCTTACAAAGGTGTCCCTAAATGTCAGCAGTGGAGAAGGAGCTAGGGTTACGCAGGCACCAAGTACAAAAATGTCAAAGGGAAGACCTATACTTGCAGTAATTTGTCTGATGCTTTATAAAAAGAAATCTTAGAACATGACACTGTCTGCTCTTAATTCTCCGTGATTTTGTAGAGGAAGAAATTAGGGTTAACAGACTTGTGAATTAAGTGTTGGGATAATGCAGATGGCTCACAAGGTCAATTGCAGGGACATGAATGCTTCTCTGCAAGAGTAAAGGCAGACGTAGTCTTTTGGGCTTTAAACATTTTTTTTTTTTACACTTCAAGATTTAATTCTGTTTGCTGTTAGTTTCTGACTTCCTTCCAAGGTAAGAGATGCATGAGGCTTCTGACTGGTTTAGGCTGATGCATCTCTGATTTTCAGGGGAAATTCAACATGTTATTTGCAGATAAGAGGATGATTGTGCTTTTCGTCATTAAAGCTCACTTCATATCGGTCTATGTGACAAGATACGGACTCTCAATGAGTCCTTGTAATTAGTAATAATGTGTCTTCTGCTGGCAAGGTTGATTCTAAAACAAGCCAAGACCCCTGGTTTTGGTCAGGAAAGACACAGCAGAGCTCTGAGGCTTTGGGCAAGGTTCCCTGGCTGGCCAGGAAAGGGAAGGTAACTCTGCTTCTCGTCCTCAGAAATTTGACGAATTGCTGCAACTGGCTTCCAAGGGCCAGCACACGAACGTGGACATGCTTGTGAAAGACGTGTATGGGGGCGCCTGCCAGACCCTGGGGCTCAGTGGGAATCTGATCGCCAGCAGCTTCGGGAAGTCTACTACAGCAGACAAAGGTACTAATGTATAAAAAAAGAACTAGCCAAGATTTGCTCTGCACTTCCTACTTTCTGTTGCCTGTCAGCACAGATTTGCTGCCTGTGCTCGCTTCCTGCGAACGCTTAAACTGGTGGAAAAATAGTCGCCAGCTTCATCAGAATAAACGTGTCTTGCCTGAGACGTTTCCCTCTGATACGCTGGGCCGAAAGGGGACTTGGAGCACAGCTTGAGTTGCTCCAGTTATTTGGAGTGTTTGTTTGGAACTAAGGAGCAGAAGACATGCTACCATCTCTTCTGGCCCTTGGGAGTCTGATGTTTATAATCATCTAGCAGTCTGGTGAAATTCAGTATTTTTTTCCTGCAGTCGTAGGCAGCTGTGTTTAATTCACTTTCCTATTTCTTTTCTTTAAGAATTTTCCAAAGAAGATATGGCAAAAAGTTTACTACATATGATCAGCAATGACATTGGTCAGCTCGCCTGCCTCTATGCTAAACTCCATAACTTAGATAAAATATATTTTGGAGGATTCTTTATTCGGGGTCACCCTGTTACTATGCGCACAATAACCTACAGTATCAACTTCTTCTCCAAGGTAATGGAAACAGAGATCTTCCTAATAGCAAAATCACGTGTTTAGTTATCTTTCTAGGTGTTGGGAGACTTGAATAGATAAATTTGTGTGTGAGGTAGGCTTAGAGGGCTGCTGTTTGGGTAGGTAAGGCAGAGCTACAGAGATCTGCTGTGGGAGGGGTAAAATCAATGTGAAATGCCTGGAAGTTCTGTCTGGCCTCTCTTTCTCTCTCCCTCCCTCTTTTATTATTTTTTGACTGACAATCTGCCTTGTAGCTGCCAAGTAATGAGTTTTCACTATTTTCTTAGGTAACTACCATTGTTATTCAATTCCTCTTGCTGACTTGGGTCTGTTCCTTTTCACACCCTGGGCCATGCAGTGTGGGATTGTTCTGCTGGAATAGTTAGCAGTTAGTATCAGTGGGGGGGGGGGGGGAGTGT